CTCTGCAGCTTTGAGCTGTCGAGATTCGAACGCGATCACCCAATCTCGCCCCTCGGTGCACAGCCGATGACAAAGTCCGAAGTGTCACAGAGGAGACTGAAAGGACTAACGGGGTCTTGCGACGCCAGTATTGGTGCATGAGTGAGGCTGCCTTTGACCCCTTTATAAGCTTCCGATGCTCGATGTCCCAATACCATTCCGCATCTTTCTTATATCGCCAGCTTAAGGCTCTGGAGAGGAACTAACCAGTCCACGACAAGGAACTATTTGCGATGAAGTATGCACTTGCCAAGTTCAGGGTGCACCTGCTTGGCTCAAAGCCGTTTGTGATCTAAACAGATCATGCGTTCCTACGCACTGCAACTCAGTCGCCGGACAACCAGTAACTTTCCTTCTTCGCAGAATAAAACTTCGAAGTGAAGTATCAGCCAGGAAAGTAGAATGCCTTGGTTGATGCGTTGTCACGCAGAACAAATTATGAGCTCGCTCATGCCACGACAGTGACGTTGTCCGTGACGAATTTGATCCGCGCCGCGTACGCGGGTGATGGGATATGGGTGTAGCGCTGCGACGGGTTCTCGGGAGCAAGTATTCTGGAAACTCGGACAAGAAGTTGTCGTCCACGGCTGCACCAATATTCATTGAATAATGGATTGCTGTATTATAGCACCGATTCGACTGATACGCCACAAATTGTGGTTCATCACGATGAGAAATTGAAGTACCGTATCCTCTATGCGGCGGACACCATCGACGGTGTCAGCACAGCGAAGCTGTTTGTGGATCGTGTCTTTCGATAGTATGGCCCCCTAAAGTCAGTTATCTCTGACAGAAACCCACGCTTTACTGGGATGTTTTGATCTACAATTTTCAGGGTGCTGGGCACCAAATTGATAATGTCAACAGCGGACCACCCGCAGACCGATGGTTAGACTGAGAGCGTGTATCGCGTCATTGAAGACGTTCTTCGCAGAGTCTGCGCTGAGACGCCGAAGCGCTGGAGCGCCATGTTGCCACTCGTAGAGTTTGCTCTGAACAATGCAGTGCATGCGTCTACCGGCTACACGCCGTTCTACGTGAACGAGCATGTTAATCCTCGCGCCCCGCTGACGCCGCCATCCCATGGCTCAGGGCTTGGTAGGGGAGGGATAGCCAAACGGCTAGCTGATGTCAGTACCCTCGCTGTCCGTAGATAAGTCGATGACTTCTTGTCTACTAGACTGAGTGTCCTTCAAAACGTTCGCGATGCGAAAACTGAAAGCCACGACATGCAGAACGAATATGCAGATGGAAGAAGCAGAAGAACTGTTGAAAGCTTTGAGGTCGGAGACCTGATTCGGATGAATGCTAAAAATCCTCCTTCACATGCAGCTCCGCTATCTTCAAGACAAAGCTCCGACTACTTTACAAGGTCTTGACCAAGCGGGCCTTGCGTATATGCCAAACCTTCTAAGAAGGATGCGCACCCACCCGGTGTTTTATGTGGTCTTGCTTAAGCCGTACCGGGATCCGGCGCAAGTGAACGCGGGAGCGTTGGTGCCGGAGCGGGGCGGGGCCCACAGTGGCTCGGCAACCCAAAAGCTGAATCAGCAACCGGTTTTGAGCACGGAGTGCAACGATCTCTATCTCCAACGGCGACAAGCGCTCCACCGTCGCACGAAGCGACGCATTCATCTGCTCAACGGCTAGGAGCCTCTCCGACAAAGCGCTATAGTTCTAAACGTGAGGCAGTCGGTGTCCAAAGTGCTCAAAGCTCTCGAGGTCTTCCGCACAGCGATTTGCAGCCCCAGCATGATGCTCAGCGGAATCCCGATCGTGACGGATCTCGTCCTCAAGAGCACGATGGCCATCGCGAGTTACCGATCGGCGATCGACCAAATCGAGATCGTCCGCCGCCGACTCTTCTTGACGAGAATGGTGGCGCCCACTATCACGTGGAACGTTTTGTAAGTCGACTTCGTTGCCAGGGTCAAACCCAGTATCTTGTGAAATGGTGGGGATACCCCGACGCCGAGAACTTGTTGGAGTTTGTGGTGCCACTTTGGCAAGACTGTCAGACGTCGTGGACGCTTATGATGAGAGAGATCATGACGTTTCGCGTCATCGTACGCCCCGCGCTTCTCAGCGAAAGCCACGGAAGTCGAAGCGCCATGAGCTGATATCAAGCTATGACCCGATCCGCTGTTGTCGCAGAATTACCCGTGTGGGAGACCACAGAGCCCGCGGGAGTGTGATGGAATAATCAATACGTCGCAGGGCGACAAAACAAATGAAGTCGGAGACGCGCCTTGATTTCGGCAGACTCGTCCGTAGATGGCGCTCCACGCGCACGTCCACCTCCTTATGGCTCCGCTGTAAGTTGGACAGCGAGGAAAGTTTCGATGCTGCTGTATTCATCGTTTAAATAGCTCTTAGTCATCTGCATCTGTTTCGCCAGGGCGAGCACCAAGGGGATCTTCTGCATCGCGGGTACAGGAGCGCCTCCTCTTTAAACGCAAAGTCGGGTGCGGTGCACGTTGCTCGGTTGCCGAGGGTTTGGGATGCGCTTCCCTTGAGGCCGCAGACGTGCTGTCCGAAGTTGCACGGCGTGCAGGAGACGAAGAAGGGCCCTGTCCGTGGGCGCTATCGGAACCAAGGAGGCTGGGTGCCTTTCGTGTCTTAGGTACAGAGCCCATTGAGCAGAGAATGCGTGCAGCAGGTGCTGGGGATGTCGAGGTATCTTAGACAGGCGAGCCTCGTATGAGGCGACAAGCAAATGTGAATTGTGGGTGTTCAAATTTTGCATACAAGGGTGTGGGTTACACAAAACGGTGTAATCAGGCTACACCTCAACAAGAAGTCAGTACGTGGCTGAACTGCCTGTAATTATGCATTTTAATCGGGGTTTACTATTCAATTAGGAAAACCTACAGATTTGGATGAAGGCGGGTTTGCCGCAAATAAACCCAATAAATACTGCTTACATTTAAACAGGAGAATCGAGCTGCCTTGGGTTAAGGTTGTGGTTGCTTGGAGTAAGCAGATTGCGATGCGCTACACTCGCACTGGTCTAGTACAGAACGTAAGGTCATCGACCTTAGCATAGCTTCCTCTAAGCAAAAGAGCTACGGCAGCCCCGCTGCATTCGCCCCATTTTATAAGATGCTACTTATGACCCTGGCGAGTGTGTTGAGCCGCAACAGATTTTCATGAAAGCGGCATTTGCCGGCTCATTGTGAAGTACCGTTGAGGGACAGTTCTTGCGTGGCTTGCTTTTCTGGTTGATGAAGTGTATAGACTCTCATCGAATATAACGTCACGCATCCATTAAAGACGTCGATCATCCTCTCAGGGGTGTATACTTAGACAAATTTACTTGAGACACCCCACGTAATTTGAGCCCCGATCGCTGCGTTGGAATAGATGGTAGCTGAGCATCAGAAGTCTTAGAAAATTACTTTGTCTCCACTAATACTCGCAACGTGAAGGACCAAATGTAGAGTGCGTCAATACTATAGACAATGCACGTGTCGGTAGATTATTTGCGTTTCGTAAAGGTTTTGTTACTGTACTCCTTCCGACGCCCGATTGGACCACTCATCACCAGTGCATTTCATATCCTGGCAAGCGACTACCGCGTCTGGCCTTTAAGCGTCGATTTCCGACCCCTCGAGATCATTTTTTTCAATCCCGAAGACACGTATTTCTACTCCATTCTCGCAGATAATACAGCCCTTTCACGTCTCTGTCGTGCGAATGACTACAAGTGCTACCAAGTGCCACGAAGCTACCAGACACAGAATAACTTTGGCTCAATATATCAACATCTACTAAAAAATAGAGTAAATCTTCATGCGCTCCACCCAAAGCATCCTTTCTCGTAACTAGTCACCTAGTAATATATATTTTACATCACTTCTATGTATAACTACTACTAAACATTTGCATTTTACTATACCCAATAATGCAGCTATATCTATAATTTGGCGTGAGGAAAACCGCGCGCCTGTATCAAGAATTTTTTCGTTACGATGTCCCATCATTGTCAAAGCACCGATACTTCGGTTCTCACAATTTCCCAGAACTGTAATTTGAATGTAAAATGATTCTACATATTGTGTTTTGCATCACAGTACGAAAGTGTGCGAGTATAAGCGCACAAGTTTATAGTATGCCACAACGCTTGGTCGTTTCCTCGACCCTCGCCAATTCCATATATCGTTTACTCACCTCCTAAGCAAACGTAATCTCAACTCGGATGCAAACGAAAGTCCAAAGCAAGCGCTTACAAAAAGTAGGGTTATGGATTGACTATGTGCAACCTCGTGACAATTATTCTAATACAATGTACAATAAGTCCGAAAGATAGGTTTCTTCTGCTTTAATTGCGAAACGATTGCCCATGAGCCAGGGATCCGATGATGGCGCCACAGAGCCGCTACTCCCGGTGCGCACCAACATTCTCGCTCCCACGCCAAACGCACAGGATGACAGCGGGGCCGCGAATCCATTCAGCAAAGGCAAAAATCAGGAAAATATACGAGATTCGTATTTGAACCAATTGGGCTACACACCGCTCATCTTTAAGGTATTGTTTCGCTGGTATGGGCCGTGCAATGATACCACTAATTTTCCCATTGCAAAGCCTTTTAAAATATGTGTGTAGTGAAAGGATCTGATTTTGCCATGTGTACCAATGTCTATCCTCCAAACAGAAAGTGAAAAAAGTTGGAAGCTTCATTGCCTCGATGTCACCTTTGCAGACTCGCAAAGTAGGACCAGACGTTTGCAATCATTAGTCAAGCGCAAAATGCTTTCTGCTAATATTAAACGTTTCATTCAGTCGAATCCAGACGACCTACATTTGGACGCTTTCCCTTACCATCAGTCAATTATCCCATCAAAGGGCTCAATTCGTGGCTCAGTCTTTAATCTGGCCGGTGCTACCCTCGGTGCAGGGGCGCTGTCTCTGCCGTATGCGGTCGCAGTCTCTGGCTTCGGTTTTGCCGTAGCTCAACTTGTTTTAGCTGCTGTACTTACCATTTACACCATTCGGCTGTTGATTCGAGCGGAGGATATTACAAAGTATGAGTATGATGCACTCGATTTTATTTTCAGGGCTGACGCCTCGCATTGTCACCTTTGTGAAACAGATTAAATTCTTATGAGGATCTGGCCATGCACTGTTTCGGCACAAAGGTAATGCTGAGAATAACTCATATTCCTTGTAGCCTGACATAGTATGGTCTATTTATTTAGATGACAATTTTTGTGGAAGTGAACATTCTGGTCTTTTGTTTTGGGATTTCCGTTGCATACCTTGTAACACTCGGAGATATTGTCACACCGCTAGTCGAGCTGTGCTTTGGAGTGCAAAGCATTATAGCGCAGCGATGGTTGCTAATGACAATTTTATGTGGAGCAATCATGTTGCCATTGTCTTTGATGAAAGACATCAGCAGTCTTCAATTCTCGTCCATTTTAGGCGTTCTTTCTATCATTTTTCTCGTCGTGGCGGTGGCAATTCGATCAATTACGTATGCGACACTTAATGGCATCCCAAAAGACATCAGCTGGACTATCGATCTAAGTCGCAGTCCAGACTTTATGCTCAGCGTGCCAATTGTAATGTTTGCGTTTACTTGTCAGGTAAGGCATCGATTTTACTCGTATGTGCTCATTATGATTCAAAAGCCGGCATCTGACATTCTCTTTCACTAAAAGGTGAACGTCTTTTCTATCTACACGGAGCTACAGCGTCCATGCATTCGTCGGATGAATAAAGTAGTTGACCGAGCTACTCTTATTTCATTCCTGATCTACTTGTGCATCGGTGGAGTGGCGTACCTGGCGTTCGGGCGTCAACTCGTGGAACCAAAGTATAAGGGGAACATTCTATTAAGTTTCCCGCTGGATGACGCATTGATTGCCTTTAGCCGAGCTGCCATTGCTTTCACTGTAGCCGTAGCTTTTCCGCTTAACATCTTCCCATGCCGCTTTACTATCGAGATGATGTTTTTTGCAAACAGGGAGGACTCGTGGACGCGCCATTCGATTGTAACGAGTATACTCGTTCTATCAGCACTACTGCTCGCGATCTTCTGCCCTAGCATCAACGTGGTCTTTGGAATCATCGGTGGGACGTGCTCCACCATTGTGTGCTTTTGTTTTCCGGCTGCGTTTATTCTGAAACTTGAAGAAGGCCCTCTGCTTAGCCCCCAAAAAATCGGCCCGGTACTTTTATTTACCGGCGCAATTGTAATTGGGATCGTGGGCACAGGTGTCACTGTCTGGTCTAGCATAATCGTGCCACCAGCATAATAAGCCATCTCGCCATTGAAAAACTCGCGTTATAATGTGACATCTCAAAGAGTTTATAGGCATCAATATACCGATATAATCAAGAGTAA